GACCGCACACTTCCGCAGCATAAAAGTGATTTACGACCATTGACCTGAGTTTACGAGCAGCAAGTTAATGCCATGTATGGATTTTTAAAATACACCCTCTTTGTATTGTCGGGGCTGGAAGACATGGAGACAATGGAGGAGAATGCGCATCTTCTGCCCAAAAAAATAATTCCTAAGAACATAAAATGTGTCATTGTTGCAGGTGGGATTTGCCGTTGGACTAAGAGTTTATAAGCTGCTCTACAGTAAGAGTCCCCAGGTGACGTGCAGCTGGTGGTGCAGAGGCAGGAGCCAGAGGGAAAAGGAAGTGCTGGCAGGTTTAGGGTTCTGCTGGAGGTCCCTGCAACAGGAAAGTGACATAATCCTCCACTGGAGATGATCCAACATCCCTGATCCTGTGTACAAGTCCTTCAGCACCTTTCCAGACGCGGGCACTTAGTGTTCGCCTCCTGCGCAGCGCAGGGATCACAGGGTTATATAAGAGGCATGGAGGTGAAAGTGGGCGACGCCATCACACACTGTATAAAAAGGCGGGGGGGGGGGGATTGGGCTGCATTCCAGCCCCCCCGCCCCCCCCCTTCCTCAACCACACACAAAATACTCTTCAGGGGCCAGCACGCGACAGGTGCTGACTTAAGAGCCCCTCTCTGTCACACACACACACACACACACACACACACACACACACACACACACACACACACACACACACACACACACACACACACACACACACACACACACACACACACACACACACACCTGCCCCCTTTATAACCCACTCTGCCATCCTTCCTCTGCCCCAAAGCGAATGGAGGCGGCTCCCCTTTCAGACGTCCAAATTCCTCTGCAGACTGTTGCGTTTCTTTAATTAAAGCTGCATAAATCAAACGCACCTACACCTGTCCATGTTGCTCAGCTAGGATGATGTCACTGTGCTTTCTTTTTTAAGATCACAAAAGCAGTTTATGGATTTTCAAGGTGTCTCGTTTCCTACGTTGTCTGACTGTTGTATCGTTTTAGTTTCCCTTCTGTGTTCCACTTGTCTGCAATGTTTGTCTTTCTTTGTCTCTTCTGTCCTTTTTTAAAGCCCCTGAAGGTCCCACTGCATCCCATTGTCTCTTCCTCTCCATCCTTCTCACTTACATCATTCTATACATTACTTCCTCCTCTTGTCTGTGTTATATTCTCTCTTTCTTTGTCCTGGTTTTTTTCTCATTCCTGCACCCTCTCCGCTTCCCCTCCCTCACACACTCGCTCCTTCTCCTGTGTGTGTGTGTGTGTGTGTGTGTGTGTGTGTGTGTGTGTGTGTGTGTTGGTGTAAGCCAGTGCCAGACTGTTGTACAGGGAGACTGCAGACGGTTGGTGTTCCTGCCAGCCGTTAGACACACACACACTCCCACAGAGTCAAAGAGGACAATGTGTCTGGGTTGAGAAAAGAAACTGGGCAAATGCATGCCAGGGCTGCCACCCGGAGGTGACAGCAGGTATCGCTGCAAGCAGGAAAGCAGGAGATGATGAAATACTGACAGCTTTTCAGTAATGGCTGTGGGCTGGGTGGGCGGAGCAAGCGCTTGTGAGCTCACTGCTGCTTCTGTGGCTGGAAGCAGCTATTATGCAAGATGGCGAAGAGAGGGGAAGGAGAAAAGGAGAAAGGAGCGGGGAGAACAAGAGGGTTCAGTGAGGGTGAAGTGCTCGTTTGGTGATTTGATGCACAGAATGTCATCAGCGTTGGCACCATATATCCCATATACTCATGGCTCTTTTGTCTCCGACAGTGGAGACTCCTCCTTTAAGGTGGCATCCCGGTGAAGATGAGTGAGCTCCATCCTCCTGCCAAAAAAAATTAATCATCTCCATGACAAACACTGGCGACCTCAGGCTCAGCAGTAACCTCTGACTGATAAACGCATTTAACTGATCTTTCCCAACATCGCTTCCAGATGCGTCAACTGATAAAAGAGGATAGAAAACACTTGAAGTTGAACTGGTATGCAAATTGTCAACTGCAAGGCAAATTTATTCAAATCTGTCATTTCTCCTGCAAGGGTCAAACGAGGACAAGACCTTGCACGCAAAGCAACACCCAAGAAAGCAGGCTCAGTTTTTCGTTAGAAGCGGTTTATCATGTCTCATTGCAACGTGATATCTATTTTAAAGAAGGATGGAGGTCAAAGGACAGTCAAATGGAAGTCAGCTGTTAGTGATGATGGGGGCCGAAGTGCAGCAACCTTGAGTGTTTTTGTTCGAACATGCAGGAACATAAATACTCTCCTCCCTGGTCAGATTTCTAAAATTAGACGCTCTTCTTCAGGTAAAATTCAATTTCCATTTAAAAGTGGAGGAATGTAAAATGTATTCGTCGCAACTCCAGAGCATCTTCTGCTCACCTGTCTCTGTTTTTGCTTACTCTTCATTTCTGCCTCCAGCACCCCCAACCCCCACACACCTGCTCAGATGCGAGAGCAGGAGTGACCCTCAGAGAAAATGGAACACATGCATATTTATGTCTGCTTCAGCGTGCAAAAAATAAAGAAAATCTACTTCATTCTTGTCTTTACTTTGTATTAAGAGCAATGCTGCTTCTGCTGTGGTCATGCTGGCTTCGCCTGCGTTTGTGTCACCACCTTCCTCAACCCTGTCCATCCGATCAACACAGCTCCAGTGACGAGCATGGGAAAACGAGCGAAGAATATTGGACCGCAAAGAACCATCAATTACAACACAATCAAGGAGCGAGAGGACAAAAGGGCAGAGACTGGAAAAAAAAGGAGAAACACTTTTCTTCTCACGGCCCTCTGGGAAGACGGTTTAGATGTGTAAAATATTTTGTGGAATTGAGGCCGACAAGCCTCTCAGAGCCCAGTGGGGTACTCATAATTTGTTCGAGGGGGAGCGAGGAAGGAAAGAAGCTGTGGAACAATGCCATTGTTCCCGATGGACCAGAAGCCCGGGCCGCCGCCGCTGCCTGCCTGTTTGCAGATTGTTAGCAGCAATTTGCTTTATGTTGAGTGGAAGTGGGATTAGGGATGAAGTGAGGCGTGTATTCATTTCTCTGCAGGGATCACGTGCCCTCATCAGTCTCCAATCCCAGTTTCATCATTGGAGATTATGTAATCCTCACAGACCACCCACAGCTGGCTCGCACCTCCGCTGAGTTGTTAACATCGTAAACAACTGACATCCATCATCCACCAGAGGAGACTCAATCAATAGGATTTGGGGTATATTTGGTTAGATGAACACCTCGTTAAGAAATTACTAATTAACGTTTTGGTTTTTCTTACAGGGGTGCAAATTTGACGCGATAATTCTAATAAAATATTTTTCAAATGCCAGGTTAAAAATTTTGAGTCCGAGCTCACAACAATTGGGGCAAAAAAAGATTTTGCACCACAATTCGTGCCCAACATAGCAATAAATATCATGGGCTACAAAACCATATAAACCTTTTTCACGTGCTCTACAAACTAAAACTACAATTAAATCATGACAAATTGCTCTTCATGAAGAAAAGAAAGAATGGAAAAAAAATCAGCTTTATTACCGTTGTGTTTTCTAGTTGGTAGAAAGCAGGCAGGCAGTAACTTTATCCATTTGGACTTTATTACCATAGGAGGAACAAGCATACACGCAGCATTTATCTTGTAACCCTCTGCAGAACTTCCCCTGAGCTCCACACTACACCTCTCTCTCTCTATATATATATATATATTAGCAGTGCACTGCTGCCACCTAGTGTTCAGTTCAGTACACAGCATCTACAGTGTTCCATGTCCATTTACACGTTTACATCAATAACACATAAACTAATATTACACATCCCCAAAGACCTTGTGGTTACTAAAATATACACATTAAAGTGTGGGCATGTCATCCGTGTCTCACTAACGATATTTCTCATTAAAAATTGGCTTGGTTGCAAACTCTCTTCAATGATTAAAATGTGATTAATTAATCAGTTAGAATACCTCTAATTAATTAAAAAAATTTTAAATCAAGTTCCACCCCTAGTTTTTAGTTATCGTAGAAAACATCTGGTCAGGATGCCTCCTGGTTCTCCTGATTCTGCCTTTCTTGCCTCTGATTGGATGGAATTGCTCTCCTATGATTGCCTGTTTCATTTAGCAGCAAACTGTCTTCCCTCGCTGCAGGGTTTTTATGTCTGCAGCCAGATCTTGTGAATTTAGCGCTATATTAACCATTCTGTCCTGTTGCAAAATACCAGTTTCCAGTTCTTTTATAAAAGAACCTGAAAAACATCAAATGTGAACTTGTAATAAATCTTGTTTCATTTGTCACACCGTTAGACTGACTGCATATCTGTTGACTCTTCAGCACTAGGGTTATCTTATTACTATGAGAAAGAAAACAATCTTTTATATTGCGTCTCTCAAGATAAAAATCATTAGGCGCTTCACAAGAACAAAACATTTTAAATATAGAAAATAAATATTTTAAAATATGGTTTAAATGAGAAAAGAATTGTAAATAAAAATGTAACCGGGTGACTGAGGTCATCCTGGTAATTTGTGAGATATGTGGGGGGTGTTTTAGTACTTCTCACAGTAGGAATGGTCCTTGAATGTGTCACAGCTCAATCTAAGCCACTCCTTGATGGGCTGATTATAAAAAGGTGTGCAGACCAGGGAGTTGGTTTGGGAGGTGGTTATCATGCTGCTGTGAGATTTTGGCTGGTTTGAGGGGTTTTGCTTCAATCACACGTAGGTGGAGGGTGGCTATAGAGTCTCTCTGTGGGCCGTCTTTAGTCATCTAGACTTCGGGACGGAAAAGAAGTGATGGCGGACTGGGTGACCACCCGCTGGAGATGCTGACTCTCTGCTATGGATGCAGTCACCTGACTCCCTAGCAGATAGGGTTTCAGTGCAGTCCCACCATCGTTGGAAAATCTGCGTTGCCTGGAAAGGGTGTCCGCATTCTGGTTGGCCCGCCCTGACCGATACTTCACACTGAAGTCAAATGCAGAAAGCTCTGCCATCCAACGCTGCTCCGTGGCTCACAGCTTTGTATTTTCTAAATGGCACAGTGGGTTGTTGTCTGTCCAGACAACACAACAGTGGCCCCACAGGTAGTCCTTGAATTTATCAACCATAGCCCACTTCATTGCTGCCATCTCCAGCTTCACAGAGCTGTAATTTCTTTCCTCAGGATGCAGGCTTCGACCACCATAAGCCACAGGTCTCACCCTCCCTTCTTGCTCCTGCGCCAGCACTGCTCCCAATCCAGAATGGCTGGCATCCACCTCAAAAATAAAAGGCAGAGAAAAATCAGCAAATGCTAGAGTGGGCGCACTTACGAGGCGGGACTTCAGCTCCGTAAAGCACTCCTCACACTCCTCACACCAGGCATCACTCAAGACAGGTCCCTTTACCCTTCTTGTTGTTAGGGCCAGCCAGCTCTGTGGTCAGCCACATGTAGGTGGAGGGTGGCTACTAGAGTCTCTCTGTGGGCCTTCTCTGATTGTCAGCTTGCCATTGCTGCTCAATTGAGTTTATTTTTTATCCATGTCCGGGTACAAACCGTTTTTAAGAAGACTGAACAGAAATAAATAAAGGCCCTGTTTTTCTCTACCTCTGCCTTGGTTCCTTATTGTGACCAGACCCGCCTGGGGTTCTGGTTGTGGGTGTCTAAGGCCCTGTCCACACGTAGCCGGGGATCTGCCAAAACGTAGATATTTTTCTACGTTTTGGCCTGCCATCCACACAAAAACGGAGTTTTTTCACACAAAAACTGAGTTTTTTAAAAACTCCGGCAAAAGTGAAGATCTGCATTTTCTCCGTTTTGGGTGTCTGCGTGTGGACAGACAAAACCGGAGTTTTAAGGTCCGCAACGTCACTTTCCGCGACAAAAAAATGCTGACATCATGATTGCGACCTGTGTTTACACTAGCCGACAGCATGGAAGCCCTCAGAGCTGCGCTCGCTTTATCAATTGTCCAAGCGCTTTTTGCTTGTTTGTTTTTGCAAGCGGAATTACTGCTCCTTGCAGAAGACCACAGACGAAGGACGAGGTTAAGAACGGGGGAAGTACTGCTGCCTACAGGTCTGGCATGTCCTTAACAACGTATTTATCCGGGTACGTGTGGACTGAGTTTTTTTTAAAACGAGGTGATGTGGATGCAAGTTTTTGGAGGGGCGGATATTCATTTTTTAAAAACCTGGCTACATGTGGACTAGGACTAAGCCTTACGCTCAGTCACATAAGGAAAGGGAAAGAGAAAATAAATAGGATAGAGGGAAATCAGTGGATCCCGGGCAACGCAGAACTGGTAGGTTATCTTCTAAGCAAGGCAGCATTATATATATGGCATGTTTCATACACAAAGACAATTCTATGTGCTATGGCTTCACTTTCATAAGTTAAGGCTCTTTGAAAGTTGGAACACATCTCTCACCATCTGTTTAAACGTGTATCATTAAAGCAAAATTTTATTCAAAGTTGATGATGGTTTAGACCTATTTTTCACCAGTTTTCATTATTGTAGAAGAGAAACAGACCTGCTGCACACAGCTGGGCAAAACAGGTAAGGCACACATGTGTTCATCCCATATACTCTGCTTTAACAAGATAACCTCAATGCTTCAGAGCCAACACATATAAACAAATAAGTCCACTGTTGTGATAAATGCAATGAGATGTATTATAAGTTCACATTTTAACGTTTTTCAGGATTTTTCATAAAAGAAACTAAAACATTTTTTTTTTTTTTTGCAAAACAGGACAGAATGGTTATTGTAGCGCTAAATTTACGTTTTCTTTACATACTCTCCCAAAAAGCTGTTCTGTTGGAGGCAGGACAGTCTGCACTTAGCGAGGGAAGACTGATTGCTGCTACATGAAATAGCCAATTGTAGGAAAGTCCTTCGAGCCAATCAGAGGCGAGAAAGGTGGGATCTTCCTTGGACATCCTACGATTCTAAGTGACACATCCAGGAAGCAGAATTGAAAGTCTTGGCTAGCAGAACCTAACCGTTAGCATTAGCAACTCAACCACACAACAGAAGCTCCTCCAGGGGTGTGTAAATATAAAACATCCCTGTCGCAGAGCAAAAAGAGTTAGGGCTAGAGTCTTGTTGCCGTTATCCAATCCGAGGCAAGATGTCCAAATATCAGGAAATAAGACTTCAAATCATGCCGTTTGCTGCCATTCTCTGCTGTAGCAGACTTGTCCATGCTGATCCAGGTGCTTCTGGGCTAATATTTACACATCCCAACAATTCCTACAATGGCTACCTTTATAAAGAGACCAAAGTAATCAAATAGACCTCGTTGTCACAGAAAAATACACAATAAATGTGGGTGTGTCATCTGTGCCTCACTAACATTATTTTTGTAAAAAAAAAAAAAAGCCTGGGAGCAAATTGTTTTGAACAATTAAAATGTGATTAATCAAGATTAATTAATTATAAAGCATCTAATTAATTCGATTTTCAATTGACTTACCAATTTCAAAAAAGTTGTTAGTATTTTCGTCATGTCCTCATTTCCTAAGCTTTCTGGCAACGTTTGTACACTTCAATCAGAATAATTTGGGGTTCAAAGTTTTTGGTATTGTAATTTTAGAGGAAAGATGCAGAAAAACTGTACATCAAAATCGACGGCAGCACAGGAGTTGAGTGCTTGCACCGTAATCGGAAGGTTGCGGGTTCGAGCCCCACTCAGTCTGTCGCTCTCTTTGTGTCCTTGGGCAAGACACTTAACCCACCTTACCTGCTGGTGGTGGTCGGACGGACCGGTGGCGCAAGTGCTCGGCAGCCTCGCCTGTCAGTGCACCCCAGGGCAGCTGTGACTACATCGTAGCTCATCCCCACCAGTGTGTGAATGTGTGTGTGAATGGATGAATGAGTGATTGTGTTGTAAAGCATCTTGGGGGGTCCCAGGACTCATCAAATACGGGCCATTTTAATTAGTCTTTTTGGTTTGTTTAGATTATTTGTCAAACTAAATAAACCTTAATTGGTTTTGGGGGTGGTCAGCAGCAAACACAACCTTTGAATGAGCAAAGCCTAAATTTAATCCAACATTCAGCTGCTAAGAGCAAATTCCCATGAGATCAATAACTGACACTTCATCCACGTGTGTCCAGTTCACTGACGTCCACCCGCTTCATTCATTATGACAGAAGCGAGGGGGAGGAGATGCGGAGAGCAAGCAAAATAAAAATTAGACACAGCTAATGCAGCAGGACAGTAGCTTTGTACTAGTCATTGTGAGGTCGGCTGTGTGATGGCTTCCCGAGGCCTCTGTGCCCTTCGTTGGAGGTAATTTGCTGTTGTCAAAATTGGTTCACATCAAGACTGTTCAACAGGCCACATCATATGAAAAGACTTCTGCAATTTGGCTGTGCTTCCCTGTGGCTGTTGGTCAGAGGCCCCGTGGCAGGGGCTCAGGATGAAGCAACCCACAGTGACAGTTTAAAGAGGGCAGCTTGGTGGAGACCCCAAAGGTTCTCAAGCCAGATCAGATAGATGTGAGAGGCCGGGGGGACGAGAGGGTAAGGAGGTGCACGTTTTGTCTTGTCACCACCCATCATTTCACTGTGCTCTGCGATAAAACGAGTGACTCAACACACCATTTTCTGCTCAGATGAATTGGTGCTGCAGTTCTGACAACGTCAGAAAAATTCTTGCACAGATGCATGAAACACATTCCATTGTTCTCTTCAGCTATTGAGAACACTTTTGAGGAATCAGAGCCTTGTGGGATTTTCCTTCCCCTCTCCAAACACTTCAAGGTCATCACTAATATCGGAGGCCAGACCCATTTCAGACCCAGCCGTCCATTCCCACTCATCCGGTCATCGTTGCTCTTCCATTTTCTCTTTTGCTTTGATTGATATTTGCATTACATTAACAGTGAAATACGCACTAGTGAAGGGTCCATATGTGCATGCAAACATCCCCCCATCACTGAGTGGTACTGAGACCTCCCAGAGGGGTCATAGGAGCAGAAGACATCCTGTGCAGAAGACCGCGGGGTCATCGTTATTAGTGCAAGTAAACAGAAAAGAGCAGCCCTCCATCAGACACTCCCAACTAACCACCGTGATATTCATGAGGATGTTGCACCAAGACAGAGAAAGAAGAAAAGAAAGTGGTGAAAAATTGGGAGAGTGATAATAAATGAAAAAAAGGGCCAAAGACATAAAGAGAGTTGAGTTGAGACAATTCCTATGCAGACTAAAGCATAGAAATCCGTTTGGAGCCCCCTTCCCAGGCAGAGCATTATTACTGTAATGAGTGCAACCAGCCTGGGTGACGTCATGCATCTACGGCACGCGCTGATGTATAGGAGAAAGATTGGTGAGAGGTTGGCATTGAGGGGGGGACATAAAGGGAGCTTATAGCGGGGGTCGGACAGCAAGAAGAAGCACAGCACACATGAATAAAAAGCTTAAAGACAACGAAAAACTGCAAGAAAATTAATTCACACAGGCTCCTCCTTATTCGACTCACGTCTGCATGTGGAACACACAGCTTTTTACGTTATCAGCACCCGCTCTACCTTCCTCCCCCTCCAGCCTCAGCGCACAGAAACAAAAACACACTTACTACACACAAGTTCCTCCACCAGATATGACTAGGATTTTTTTTTTAAATGGGACAATTAATTATCAGAAATTTCTGAATCGTAATTGCCTCCAGTTTGGTTTTATTCCCTAAAGTACACAGAACGCCTCTAAACTAGAGCACACACATCAAAACGGAAGCTGGTGACAAATTTAGGTGAGCCTTTTCTGAACTGATGTATGGGAAGTCAGCGAGGAGCATTCCCATAGTTCTATATGCTCTGACAACTGGGACAAGCCCAGTACAAACAGACCTAATTTATTAGACGCTGAGCCTCTCTGAACAGCTGGTGGTTAAGTGTTTTGTTCAAGGGCACCTTGTTCAAGCAGCAAAACAAAGGAGGGGAAATGGCCTTCAAAGTAGGAAATATTGTGTAATGTTGAAAAATGTTCCTGAATCAAAGAAAAAAAAAGAAACCAAAAAGTTACTTTTGAGAAATTGAGTATTTTAAGACAGTGGTTCTCATCTGGGGTCTGTGACCCCCAAAGGGGTCCCCAAAAAGTTGAAGGGGGTTCCCCACAATGTTGTGTATGCTGAGGTTGGAGGTTATCGAGAATATATTTCTAAAAATAAAATCCAGTTACCCAACACCTAATAGTAAACTCTGCGCAAGAGTTATATGTCTGTATAAAATTTTCAATTATTTACTGTTGGCGTATTTACATGGGCGTAGGAGTTGGGGGGGTAGGGGGGGCTGGTTTGTCTTGGTCACAGGAAAGGGCGGACCACTGTTTTGAGACGGATGGATCAAAAGATAAATCACTTTTTTTTCTTTACAGCTGAAACAAATGGTGTTGCTTGTTTAAAATGAACTGATCACAATGTTTAAACTTTTGAAAGATTTTGTGTTCATCATATATTTAAGAAAAATTTAAAAGTTAGAAAAATATTTCACTGTGGCAATTTAGGAGCAATTTCAAATAGGTTTTACTTGAATCCTGATTTTACAACTCCTCACATGAGCTCTTCACATGAAATAGTTGGACTTGCACATAGTTAGA